CTATCTGTGCCTTCTCAAAAAGTAGAATCCTTGCACACTAGGCCGGGAATTGATTCCCAGCCGTGGTGGTAGGATCTCAGAGGTTCTTAAGGTAGCTATACCGCTTCACACTAGTCAAATCAGACCTAAATTTTTAATAACGTTTTTACAAGTTCTTGTGGCCTAATTAACAGTTCCGAGGAGTTACTCACGTAACAGCATTAGTTCTTAGTATATAAGTACATTCGCAGCCGTGATTCGAATAGAAAATAAAATATTATATCCAAATGTTCGATGTCATATTTTGTCGTGCAATTTTTTTAAAGAATCAACCATAATAATAGTCCAATTATGACGAGTAATTATCTCATTTGAATTATTGGGAAATCTTTAATCGATTGACCATCGAGGTTTTGCATAATATTAGTTGTTCAAAAGTTACAGCCACTTGTATGCCTAATATTAGGTTAGGATAGATAATCAAACGGTTGTATCTTTTGAGCTACTAATATTACTTAAAGTCTAGATCGCCAATCGTTTAAGAATCTTCCAATAATCAAAATGAGATATTGCTCGGCATAGTTGGACAATTATTATAGTTTATTCTTTTAAAAAACTGCACGAAAAAACATAACATCGGACATTTACATATATCAGTCGGCTTTCTGTTTGAATCATGGCTGTGAACGTATTTATATATTAAGAACTAATGCTGTTACGTGAGTAACTCCTCGGAACTATTAATTAAACCACAAGAACTTGTAAAAACGTTATTAAAAATTTAGGTCTGATTTGACTAGTGTGAAGCGGTATAGCTACCTTAAGAACCTCTGAGATCCTACCACCACGGCTGGGAATCAATTCCCGGCCTAGTGTGCAAGGATTCTACTTTTTGAGAAGGCACAGATAGGTATCAATCCCCATCCGTGAGGATATTGGTGAATAGGTATTACGACTCTGTGCGAAATTTCAAGTCATTCGACTGCATTGATGTTGAGCAACAAATTGTTGAAGTTAGGCTCGTATACACACGCGACATAGCGAAAGCTGTACCATAATTCAGTAACAATTCTCGTAGCGTTATAAAAATGGTAAGAGTTGAAATCAATCCGGTTAGAAACAACAAAGTGCCGGCCAACTTCACACCAGATTTTGATTTTGATTTTCTGAAAAAACTATTGACTATAGTAGTATAAGTTTGGGAGTTCTGGATATAGATTCCTGCACCGACATAATACCGACGCTCCAGAACCTTCGAAGGTGGGTGTCCGTGCTAAGTTGCCGTCGTGAGCTCTACGATTTCCGGAAGTGACGTCACCGAAACCCTCGATTCCAAGAATTTTTGCACGATTCCGGGAATTTTGCGTCACATTCCGGGAATTTTGCGCTCGATTCTAGGAACTACACACGATCGAGAACCTTCTAGAACATTCTAGAACCTTCTAGAACATTCTGGAAGCTTCAACGGTTCGTGTCCATGCTAAGTCGGGAAGGTTCGCTCCCAGAGCCGGCGGTCCTCTCGCTCGACGTTTTGAGACAGCCCCTTGCCCCCCACCCCGGAAAGCCTTCCAGAAGCTTCGACGGACCCGTACACGTGCGTGCAGGTTTCGGTCGTCAGCCCTCAGCCCGTTTGACCTCTAACGTTATCTCGCAGAATTGCGCAGCATCGCTGATGCA